CACCTACTGGCAATGGCCTCCACCTAAAAGCGATGGCCTCCAACCTAATAGCAATGGCCTCCAACCTAGTAGCGATGGCCTCCCACCTAATAGCGATGGCCTCCAACCTAGTAGCGATGGCCTCCAACCTACAGTACTAGCAATGGCCTCCAGCTCCCTACATTTCATTTAAGAATTCCCAGGGACCCTCAGGGGAGGCATTTACATTGCACTGGTTGTTTTTGTGCGTTTCTGTGGCTTTCGTTTTCGACCAGTCCAAACTTGTCCAGGACACTGGGACTGGAAGAAGTCTTCCAGCTGACCGCCCTTCGCACACTGGAAAGCACCTGGCCATCTCTGAAAATTGAAACGAACGTGTCCTGTGAACCACAGCAATGTATTTTTTTAATTGTTTGCCACATCCGAGAAAAGTGACTCACACGTGTGTCGAACTGGCCATTTGTCAGAATGGAGCACCTCAGCAGAACACTTCTTTCTACTCATTTGTTTACCACGCTTCAATCTCCAGACTGCTAGCATGAGTCGCAACTCCAAACACTCGCGCCAGAAGACATGCGGAAGAATGTGAATATCAATTGACAGGAGAGCTTGCTTACTTGGTTGTGACTTGTTGAACATGGGGCCAAACTTCTTGTAGCACAGCTTCTCGAACTTCTCTTCGTCGTCACAGCATTCCTGGAATGTCTCGCTCAAAAGTTAAGTTTCCCTAAAAATCTAGGAACCAAATGAATATATATATATATAGTTGAATAGTGCGTGATAGTGCGAGCGCTTCTTCAAAGAAGCGTGAGCTATCCTGCGTCCATATGTAGGAGCGTTCTTGTCTCTACTAGCTACCTCTACCTACTACCTCTACGGCCTACCCCCCTCCATGAAATACAAAAAAGAAGTTCTTGGGATGCCAACATTGCCATCTGCCATGTTCTCATCTGGGGCCATTGGATTGGAAGAGGCAGCACCTTGGCAACACAGAATGGCAAAGAGGTGTGACCAATGAATATCGGCAGGTTCACCACTGCAACTTAGTCATGGACTCACCTTGACGCCGTTTCCACCCCTAGGAGGATACGCAAAGATCTCAAGATCACAAGAGTCAACATGTGTCACGGCCATTCCACTGGCATGGCTGGGGTCCTGGTGGCCTGCTGGCTTCGCGTTTAATTGAGGCCATCACGTCAGGTCATTCACGCTGTTAATCTGTGGGTTGAGCACCACAGGCTTCCTGGAAGACAAAAAAAAAACTCGGCCAGATGGTCTAGTCCAAAACACCGGCGTCCGCTGTGTAGTCCGTGTGGCTTCCCAAAGGCCAAGGCACGAGGCAGGTTCAGCACCAACAGCAGGAACAGCAGGCACCGGCGCTGCGGGCGCCCTGACTCAAGTTCTTTTAAGAACGATTTCAGAACGCATCACTGGGAGTATCGCAGTACTTTTCAATTCGTGTATTGAGAGCCCAGCACAGGGGCTGCTGCGGGTGCTGCGGGTGCTGCAGGTGCCGGAGACGCCGCTGTTGCTTCTGGCAATTGGTTGAAGGCTCCGTTGCTGTAGAGTCCAGCTTTCACCTAAGAAAAAGTAAGTTCTTGCGCTTCGTATATTTCATCTGGTCTCCAAGGTGTCAAAAAAAGGAAAGTGTTCAAGAAGCGCTCTGCGCTGCAACATCGTGAACTGTTGGAGTGCCTGCACATCCTTCAAGGCGGAGTGAGAAGCCTGCTGTTTGAGCAGCATCGCACCCAGCAATTTATAAACCAAAAGGTTCTACCGTAGATATAAGACGACTCAATCAAACTCCTTCAAGCCCTTGTGTCAGCCTATCTAGGCAGCATGTTGACCTATTTTGACAGCGATGATGAGAAAGCACGAAAGAGGCTTGCCTGGCTGCTGAAATTTAAGCAAGCGATGCCAACCAAAGCAAATACCTGCAGGACATCAATGTTCGAACTTGGTGAGGAGAGAAAGTCTCAGGCTCTCAGATCACGAAGCGCAAAGACTAAGCCTCTGAGATCCCAACTGCCATAGCAATCATGCCATGTCGCATTGCACGGCACGCCTGTCGTTTTATGCCGTATCCAGTACCAAGCCAACTGCTGACAACGGGACTTTGCCTAGCATGTCAGTATTTCTACCTTGGAATTGAGAATCTGATTTTGCGAGGCACTCTTTCATCAGCCTTGATTCATGAACATTGGGTAGCATGAGGCCTGAATCGGCTGAAGGTCCTGCTGGACATCACTATCAGCTTCAAGGTCCTGCAACACATGTGAACTTCTGTGGGGTGGCCCTACTGGATGACGGATCCCAATTATCCCAGCCGGTTGCAAATCTGAGCACTTCCTGGTCTGAGTAGCACTCAGGAGCCAAGTGCTCCATTTCGTTGTTGTAGACCGGATACATGGCAAAGACGCTAGCACCTGGAGCAACAAACGCAAAAATCATGGTTGCTTCTGGTTGCTCCTGGCAACCACACTCCACACTTAAAGTGTAAAACAGAAGTTGTCCTTCCAGCAAAGCAATCAGATCAGGGTTCAAAAGTTCATCCCACGGCACCTCCCAATAGGTTTCTTTGCACGGCTTGAGCCACACAGTTGGCGGCCACACTCCAACATTCCGCCGTTTGCAGCATCGTTGTGTCAAGCCGGCGCGTTTGTGCATGGGTGCACCCAATTGGATGTCTTTTTGGGAAATCGACGAGGGTAAAAGTGCATAGGAGGCGACAGCTGACGACAGAGCATCCAATTTTGAGCAACAGCTTGATCAAAGTCTGAAGCTGGCGATTAGTGGCTAATTCAAGCATGTCAGACCAGCAAATACCTCTTGGCGGTATGCTGACTCTATGGGATCACTGTTTTCGTTTTAGCTTCTTGGACCCCTCTCGTCAGCTCCACCCCAAGAAGCAATGTGGCATCATGCGAATCATTCTGGGCGCCCTATTCACCATCTCACCTGCCACAGTAACCAACTGCCAGAGATACAGTACTTTAAGATACTTTTGCTGCGATATCCTAGGAGCAAGGACGCTACTAGGGGGCTCCTGGCATCGCTACTAGTAACAAGAAGCTACCCGGGGCTCCTGGCCCTACTACTAGGAGCAAGAAGCTACTAGGAGCAAAGGGCATCGCTACTAGGAGCAAAGGACGCTACTAACTTCTTCCGAAGCTCGTTGAGTCGGACGGTCCGCCTTCGTAGGACCCAGGAAGCACCCCGGGGCCCGACGGGTACACGTGGCCAAGGATAGCGTGGACCAAGGCTTCGACCAGGTTGATATTTGGGTCGCATGGCCCAGCTACCGTAGTACCACCTAGGCATGACATGGCAGCAGCACCAGCAGCTTGCTTGGCTTTGCTACCTACTCATATCACATATCAATACATTGACATATTATCATACTTACTCAAGACCTCTTCAACTTACTCAATGCTACATCTGGTTCAACTGACACGTCAACCAACAAAAGTCCCGGATTGCAGCACTGGTGCATCGGGCCAGGGACGGTTTGCTTGTTGAAGTCTCGCTTTCCTGGGCAGTCTTCAAAGCTAAGGACTGCTGTCTCTCATGTGGTTTTCAGAAGGTGGAATGTTTCAGCATGTTTGCAACTCTCAACAATCAGGGTGGCTTCGGTTGCGCATTGGCTCCCCTTGCCCTGACTTGTACATTGTACTTTTCGAAATCAGCTGAGCATCGAAGCGGATCCCGATTCCGAGGTCTGATCCCCTTCCGAGAACGAGCTTTGATTCGGTAGACCAAAGTGTCCTGGCGGGCAATTTCAAGAAAGTCCGACTTAGACACAGTCGCTTTCCAACAGCAAAGCCTATGGAACTGAATGCGTATGGAGAGGAATTGAGTGAGAGGTGAGTATTCCAATCACTCCAGCCAATATCTCCATGCCTTCGTTTATTCCAGATTTGGTTTTGTGCCTCCGGTTTGTCTGTCCTATCGTTGGGAGCCTTCAACCAAAGGAGGTCGTCTCCTTTTCCAAGTACCAGGGCTCTTTGTGGGCTGCAGCCAACTCAGTTTGTGCTTGGGTTGTGCCTGGATTGTTTTGGTAAGGATTCGCCCAGTTTACAGAGATACTACATGGGGCCACAGAATCTCTTGTTACGATCGCTACAGAGTCTCTTTAGCTCGGTGGGGGGGTTTCCATGGTTTGATCTACGACGCGATGGGAGCTCGTCCTCAGGATCTTCCAACAGTGGCGATGGGCCCGAAGGCTTCTTGCCGTGCGAAGCCACGACTCTGGGGCTCTCCTCGCGGCAATCTCAGACAAGCGATGCCCGTTGTTACTAGTAGCCTTCTTGTTCCTAGTAGTAAGGCCAGGAGCCCCTAGTAGCCTCTTTGCTCCTAGTAGCGATGCCAGGAGCCCTAGAAGATCACAGGAACCCTTTCAAGAAATTGCGAATCTGAGCGAGCCTCTGCAACTCATCCGTGTGTTTGTCGTATTGGTCAAGGTTGCTACTGGGTTTGTCATACCCTTCTGAAACCACTCCTGGAAGACAAAGACTGTAGTTTTCCGGTGTTGAAGATATTTTTATCTTGCAAGATTTCCGGAGTCCAAAGAAAAGATCGCTTTAGATCGGACTAGCATATATACAAGATCGGACTTAGCGGCTTTCGGCTTTCCCACTCCTCGCCGTAGATCGATTCAGCTCTCGAAGTCTTGACCTCCTCCGCCACGACCACTCCATCCTCGTCCAGCGGTGGCAACTCCACATCCTTCAGGGGATCATCGGTACCTTGAAGACCATGTTCAACACCAAAAAAAATGAATAGATAGTGAATAGAAGAAAACTTGAACATGATTCTGAAAACCTATCTGTTGGTTTATGTACCTGCGAACCTCAAGCGTCAAATGATGCTGCATAGTATGGATTTACAGCAAAACAATGTGTATGTATATGAGATTTGAAGCAAAAAAAAAACGTTTGTTTGATTTACTGTAAGAACTCAAAAACAAGAAGCAGGCTCTGAGAACCTGAGGCTTCGTTATCCAAAGCCAGGCCACGGATGTATTTGCGTTTTTTCTTATATCTCAACGGCTCAGCATAGCGCTCGGGCCAAATACCGCCTCCAGATTCAATAAAGTATGCCAAAGTATCTTGTAACGCAGGCTCCTCCTCAATGCCATGCCTGGAACAAGCAAGAAAGGCTCAAAGAACGGGATCCTTTCTCAACACTCTACCTCTCACTGTTAAAACCCAAGACGTTGGTTTGTCATAAGAACCACCAAGCTGATCAAGCTGGCTCCTAGTTGCTCGAAGCAGAAATCATAGAGCATCACCAGTTGTTTAGATGTCGGCCGCCGCTCCGAGCGTACGTTGGGTCGGTGCACACCCTTCAACAACCACTGGCAGAGCGCTCGAAGGTAGCCAGCATCAAGCTTATTTCTGGAGTGCAAGAAGAGCAATCCTTCAAATGGATCCACCAGTTGATCTACATCCTGGGCAAAGTCATCAAGCTTGATCTTTACACATCTTTACACTCTCTTGCAGGCAGCTTTCTGAACTCAAGAAAGAGGATTCAACTGCATGCTCAAGAGCGGGTTATGTTTTCGGCTTTGTCAGGTTCATCTACGATTGGCAAGGGCGACCTGAAGACCCTCGAACACAGAAAAACTACACGAGCACATGGTATCGTCCCAGCCTTTCTGTTACAGTTCAAAAGCTTCAGGCTTCTGCCCCTTCCTAAAGAGCCTAAATTCTTTGACATCCGGGAACGTGCTACTAGTGGCGTCCTTGTTCCTAGTAGTACGGCCAGGAGCCCCTAGTAGCGTCCTTTGCTCCTAGTAGTAAGGCCAGGAGCCCCTAGTAGCTTCTTTGCTCCTAGTAGCTTCATCTCATGTGCATTACTAGAGGTCCAGAGTTGGATGGACCACACGTCCCAGTCACTTCGGCCGTGCGGAACTTTGCGACACGCGCCATGAACTCCTCGAGGCAAAGGTCCTCGTGGGCAGCGCTACTCGCAGAAACCATGTCTGGTTATGGTTTACCAGTTAAAACGACCAGATGGTGACCGTGATTGTCACGGCTCTCAAGAATAGGACAGAAATGGGTTGGAGGCCATCCTGATTAGGTTGGAGGCCATCGCTCTTAGGTTGGAGGTCATCGCTCTTAGGTTGGAGGCCATTCCCATTAGGTTGGAGGCCATTGCTAGTAGGTTGGAGATGGAAAGAAATGGATTGATTGAATCAGGTTCTTGGGCATCGTGGTTGTGTCAAAACATCGCAGTGAGGTCGGTCACAGGAGGGCGTCCTCATACGGCTGCCAGGAGTACTCCAACTGCGGAAAGGCCTCATTCGTTCAAGATGAGACTCTGTGGCTCCTATCCTCCAAGGTGCCTGGATGTTATCCAGAAGCTCCTGCACATTGATGGTATCCACCTTCGCACAGTCTTCCAGCACAGCACAGCGTAAACAAACACGGTATTATTCGGCGCTATCTTCAGATGAACTTCTGGGCTTCTGGGCGAAGGCAGTTAAAACGTGCACGTAGAAACCCTCGAAAAAATCCACATTCAGCGCCTCGAAACGTGCACGTTGGTTGAGCATCTTCAAGAGCTCCGGTGGACCTCAAACAGTCAAAAGCGAAGAAAAGTCACAAGCAAATTGATTGAGGTGCTAAGCTGTGAAAAAACAAAAGAAAATCTACAATATCATGATGATGCTCAAGGAATTGTCAGCGAACGATGATCTGTCTTGATCTCAGCTCGTTCAATTGAGTCCTGGACAAGCTCGCAGCACACCCAAAGCACCGGTGGTTGCGCAGAGATATCGCAACCTCTTATGACCGATTCCAAGAAGGCCAGTGCACATTGGATGCTTTTCCATTTGAAGGCCAGTGTTTGCTTTTTAGTTTGCATGGTTTGAAAAGAAATGACAGGTGGTGCTTGCCCAGCTACATTCCGTGGAAAGGTTCAATTAGATAAAGCATGATTGAGCTGCTTGAGTTTTTGGCCTGAACTCCTTAATCTCGCTCGCCACAGTTCGCATCAACTGAGCAATCACCTCGGATAGTGGTGCTATGCAAGAAAAAACGTGCATAGTCTTGGCAATCGCTTCTCCGAAACCTTCAAACATCGTCCATACATCGTACATACAGTGCTGTATGTTTGAAAACACTTCAAGCAAATGTCAGGGCATGTGTCACACAATAAATGCCTTTCCAAAGAAATTCAAGCAAGGAAAGGACGAAAGCTCTTCTTCAAGAAAGTGTGACGGTTTTGTGTTTGTTCATCCTTTTACACTTTAGGCACTGAGGCCGTGGCCGTTGGATTGCCAATATTATAGCGTGCCAGTGCTTGAAGTGTTAAGGCCACCTCCTCTGCGTACATCGACCTGCGGGTCTTTGGGGTTAGTAGCGTCCTTGCTCATAGAAAGAATGCTCCGTTCGTAGCGATGCCAGGAGCTTCTAGCGTCCTTGCTCCTAAAAGTCGACTTCATCAGCAAAGAAAGTCCTAGCTAATTACTTCGGTTCGGTGCCTTGCGAAAAAAGACATGCTTCTGTGACAACTTGGATCGTCATCAAGTCATGGGTATGCACCAAACATTGAGACTTCGAGGTTTGGGCACTAAATCCTACCCGATTTGGCCTCCTCCGCGGCTCCGTGTCGTTTCGTTTCTTCTCTGCCTCGAGAGCCGGACGATGCTGTGGAGCAGCTCTACGTACAAGGCACGCGGGCGCAGATCTGCTGCCTGGCGAAAGCTGAATGTCAACTCAAAGGACCCCAAATCGAACAAACGATTACAAAAGTAATAATGTATCAAGCGATACTACCTACTATCTTGATCTAACTTGTTTTTCTCTTGTGGTACGAGGGTAGGGAGGTAGCTGCTCGTAGGTAGAGGTAGCTCACAACGAGGTACTAAATGCAGGAGGCAAAAGGCTCGGCTTCTTTGCATGATTGATCTGGTGTCTAGCTTTTGGGACCTTTCTTGTGTTCTTCCTTTCTTTTTTCCCTTCCTTTTCATGACATGCCTTTAGTGATTTGTTGGGCTGAAGAGTGACAGCAAGCTCAAGTGTTTCACCTGCTCATTCATTCAAGTCAATATGCTTCGACTGCTGTTTCCAGACAGCGAAAAAAAAAGATAAAGTGGTGGGATCGGATGTGATAGGATCGTTCCGGGTGAGTTTTCATTGATGCTATAGATGTTATATAGATGCCTTCAAGACATTCATATGTGTAGCCTGCAAAAAGCTCCTTGTTCAGTCTCATGCCACCACTTTAGGGGAGATCCCAGTGCTTTCCACAGTCTTGGACAGGCTTCAGCTTGGAGGGGATGCATCCCTGTTGTTAGTTATGATGTCATATGATTATCGTGTAGCGTTTGATCATAAGTGAACTCTGTGAACGATGAGATACAATAAGAGTACCTGAAATGTTGAGCCCCTGAGCAGCTCGATAAACATCACATGCCACGGCTGTGACACGGCTGTACCACGACTGTGCCATGGCTGTGCCACATGACCTCATAGACGGCCAAAAGGTCCAGGACATGCTTCGTCGCCATCTTGGAGGTCTTGGCCTTAGGATGTCTCGACTCAGAGTCCGGTGTCAAAATCAATTCGTTAGGTAGTTTGGAGGCTTTCTTTGGATCATCTTTGAGCGAGGCCTTTGACATGTGTGTTTGACAATGTGAAAGATCGTAGCTTTAAACATCTGCACAAGAAACTGTTCAGCAAATTGAAAGGGCTGCTTAGATCTCATCTAGGCAAACACGGGGTACAAGTAAATGAGGCCGGTTGACACTCAAAGCTTCAGCGAGGCATAGGAGAAGGGACTCGTTGGCCACCTGAAGCACTCGGACTCCGGCTCCGATCACGAAAATCATCGGAGAAGGAAGCCAGCTTTTTTGGCTTCAGCGACGGTCTAGAGTCTAAGCCGTCTAAGCCTGTCTAAGCCGGACAAATCATGTGTCATCAGTTCTTTTCTGTTTGGCCAGGGCCCCCTTGCACTCGCTTCTGTGAAAGACTGGAGGATGTGAACCTCGGTTTCTCCGCAGCCACACAGGTGCACTTGTGCGCGAGTGGCGACTCCAAGTCAAGCGCAGCATCCCAGTAGTTCAAGCTGTCGGCAGTCTCCTGGGTCACTCCAGTCACTTGCTTTTCAACAAAGAAGAGTCCTCAAATAGCGCCCTTCTACCTCCGTCTTTATACCAGTCTCCATCCAATGGTTCGGGTTTTCATGTATTTTTTTCCGGCATCAGCTATACTGCCGGACTGAAAGATAGAATGCCTGCATGTATAGTGCTCCAACACTTAGAATGTCTACGGTGATTTTAACACTTAGAATGCCTGCATGCTATCTTTCTGTCCGGCTGTGGTCATAATGCTTTTATATGTGTATATATGTGCTCAGAAGAATTGACATATGCCAGCATTTCAGTCTTGCACAAAACTCAGATCATCTCAGATCCACAGAAAGGCCCAACTAATGTACATACAAAGGGCACACATTGCAGTCTCCTTTGTTTTTGAGACACCCATGCAAGAAGTCTTCTCGCAAACCTTTTTGTTCCCCTCTTTCCTTTTGCTTTGTCCTCAAACTTGCACACATGAATTCGATTCCTGTCAGGCTTGAACCATAAATAAGTGCTCATAATACATAAACACACATATACACTTAGAATGCCCGTCAGGATCTCGGATTTTTGCCTCGACTTCGGGATTTTGTTGCGTCCAGGTCCATACCCAACCAACAACTGAATGATATTGAATGTATAGATAGATAAACTCATAAACTGTTTATATATAATTATTGAGGATTTCCTTGACCAAATAGAAAGATACCAAGCAACCAACATTCTATCACACTTAGAATGCCAGCACCTGGAACGCTGATCTGTACAAATTCAACCCAGTAGAGTCTGGAGTCTGAGCAATATATATATATATATAGCTCTAGCAGCATCCACATCCAATTCCTGATCCAACAAAAACTGTGTGTATATACATATATATGTGCCTTTACGCCAAAAAGTCAAGAGACAGAAAAGCTATCTGAACTATTGGACGCAGAACCTTTGGAATGGAATGCAGATTGGGTCACAAATTCACAGCAGCAGAGCCGTTGGGCTTTTTGCCCGGTGGCGTCCATGAAGCAAGAACATGCGAAACACTCGTTGTGATCAATGAGTTCTTTCGCAACCAAAATCCTCTCCAGAAGCTAGCTGTGTGTAGATTTGTTTTGCAGTCAACCTTTAAACACATAGAATGCCGCTCATTGCTACATGAACAGAATCAATCTCTGCTGGTTTGATCTACATGCATTCATCGGCATATGCTATCATTCAAGTGAATCATCTGAACACAGGAAAGGCGTTTGAACAAAAGCTTAACACATGGAAACAAATCACAAAAAAACACAATCCAAGTGTTCACACTTAGAATGCCGGTGTGTGGATTGGATGGGCCACACAAGGTGCATCAAAGATCCCAAGCACCTCCAAGCCCACTGCATTCTGCGTTCAAAGCTTGTCTAGATTCAGCTCAGCGTGCTTGAGCTTCTCTAGTTGTCGGATCCTTGGCTTAGAAGCTTCACTATATATAATAACATATATATATATATATACATAGTTATAAAACATGTTTTGCTTCCATTGTTGGGAATGCTTTTGACGCCTTAAACAAACACACCCACTTGGAATGTCCTACCCTTACCATCCCTGTCACCTTCCTCCTCAGTTTCCCTATAGCCTCTATATATACACAACAAGAAAATGCACTCTGGACTTAAGAAAAGAAAGCTTCCAGATAGACTCGCGCGGAAATCGGTCGATGTAGGCATTCAAGATACCCTTCAAGCATTGCACCAGCGCCTCAATCTCTGATCGGCCCGTTGTGCCTCCCCAGGAGAAGCTCAATCCCTGGTGAACTTCTGGCACAAAGCCTTGCCAGCATCTTGTAGTGCTATGGCAACCTATGCAAATGCCAGTCACAGACGTGGGGATATCAGTCAAATTGTGGCGAGCAAGAGTTTGGTAGGCATCTCGGTGCATGAAAGTCTTGATGCGCTTGTGACGTGGCAGCTCCTCACTGATCTCCTTCTCATCTTCAGTCATGAGCAAAAGCTCCAGATCGGCGTCCTCCTTCTCTGCCCGCTCCATCTCCATCTGCTCAAGGTCTGAAGGATTATCTTCCTGCTCCTTCTCCTCCTCCACGACCTCCTCCAAATCTGCAGGCTCAGCAGGGACCAAGCTTAAATCCAGAATTGCTGCGCTGAGAAAATCAGGTGCGTCAGCTTCGCGAACCGGAATGCCCTTCAACGCAACCAACTGGCGAGAATCTCCGTTCCCTGCTTGCAGCTTCAGCTTCGAGGCATCAGTGTCAGGCTTGAGGATGACAAACACCTCTTTCTGTACCCGCTGCAGGCTCGCAGGGTCAATCGTATGCAATACCTGCTGCCGGTGCTTCTTGTTGAAAAACATGTACTTCTCCTGGGTGTGCTCTTTCCACTGCTCAAATTTCTTTCTTTGAGCTGGTGCAAGCTCACCGTCTGACCTCCTGGCCATTTTGATGTCCCATGCATGGGCTTCCCTCGCCCACCTCATCAGCTGCCGCGATACTGGACCTGAAATCCATTCAGGCAAAACCTGCCTTGTGCTGGGTGTGTCATCCTGTTGGATTGCCCACATGATCTCCTCTTCCCCCTCCAGTGGCACATCGCGCAGCAGTTTTAGTTTGGCTAGGTCTTCTGGGCAGCCGGTGGTTTCAGGGACGTTGGTCAATGCAATCAACTCCAGCATTGCTGCGTCATTCCGATTCATGGTGGCAGTGGCTTTGTCCAACTTTCCTGCACAGTGATGTGTGTTCATGCGTTTTCCATTCTCTACACACACAGATAGAATGCCTGTATTTGATTTAGTCTTTCATTGTGGGATATTGTGAGTGTGTATATATATATAAGACTACAATATATATATATATACACGCACAGAGTAAGCAAAAGTTTCAATCTTTACAGGTAGCACTAAAGTCACGCTGGCCTGCAAACCGGTATTTCGCAATGTGCTCGATAGTGCTGAACCCTCTCCGCACCCAAGCAGACCAAATCAAACGCCCTTGCCTCAGCTGTTAATATATATATATATACATCTCCAAGAACTTGATTGACCCCTGTTTGTTTTTCAATGTTTCAATTGTATATATATATAATATATATATATATATACTTATATATATATATACACACCAGAATTGTTTTTTTTGTACAAGGAGGACTGGAATCCTGACATGCATGCGCGCTGCTCGAATCCGTCCAAACTCTTCAATGCGTAGGCATCTGCTCGAAGGGCTGTCAATAAAGAGGTCCTCAGCAACTGCAAAGCCGCTGAAACAAAAGTGTGGATATGCAAACTCTCTATATATATATATACACCTGCAATTACACAATATAGTATCGTATCAGCTATTCAAGAGGGCAAAATGACGCCAAAAGATATACAAGTGCTGCAAAATGGCTTGCAAACGACTGAACTTTGGACCCCCATCTCCATTTGATCCAGCTGACGTCGAACTCTCAAAGAAGATCCACGGGCGATGGCGCACTGCATGTATGCTTTGGTCAGCGTGTGGAGATGGCTGTGCCACCCATCATTGGGCTGGGCAGCTGCACCAAAGCCACCAGGGATGGGACATTCGCATGATGACCCAGTCAGCAGAACCTCGCACTTAGAATGTCTTAGAATGCCAGGAAAATGGAGCTTTATCTGTATTATATATAATTATGCCAGACCCCAAACAGTTTCAAAAACGATTCTCAGTGTGGCCAGCTCCTTTTTTTCTAAGATAGAACCCCAACAGTAAACTGTTTGGGGAAGTATATATATAAATATATAATATTTGCAACCAAACAGATTTGCTATTGCTGCTCGGGGGCTATGTTGTGTTGCTCTTGCCAGGCCTCTTGCAAGCGAGCATACTTGTCACTGGAGTGCTGCGTGGCAGCGTCACAAAACACCAAACACCTGTGTTTCAAAGACAGGTTCAGAGATCTGCGACGAGCCCTGACTTCCTTGGCTAAAAACTCCAGGTAGCACTGAAAGGTTTCCGCCGTCCAGATGTGAGTTTTCAGCTGCGCTGGCCCCAGTTCAATCCATTCGGCCAGCTCCTGAAAGGGATAAATGCTTTTCATGCGTGTAGACTTAGAATGCTGTACATATACTAATACACATGTTGAACAATATCTATCTATATATATATATAAAGAGAGTTTGAATACAGACATCAGCACTTCTCCAAAAGAAGCCCCATCTCCCCGCTCTACACTCCACTCCACTCTCCATGGATGCCTGCCTCAGATGCTTTCGCTCGATCTGCGTCAGACATGGCATCTTTCCTGAAAGTCGCGTACCCGCGACCTATTCTCCCGTCATTCCAGCTGAGAGTGCAAAGCGTATGTGGCATCCGCCATTGCTCGACAGCGCAGTTTGCCGCCAGTTTGCCTGTCACATACTCTTCACTGCACTGGCGAAATCGGTGCTCATCCACGTTTTCGGTGGGGTCCATGTTGAATCCCAGCTCAATCTTGTGGCGCAACTTTCGCATGCTCATGCTCTTCGCCAATCCATCGCAGTGAGGCCTCTGCTGAAGTGATGAGCTTGCTGGACGGTACTGTAACGACCACACCTGGTCGAAATTCCCCACCAATAGGGGATGCACTGTCTTTGACTCTGTCTGGAGTTTTACATAGTCTTGTACTCTTTGGATTGACGGATGACTTTTTGGAAGGTGCTTGCCAGGCTTGCGGTTCGAGCACGGACCAATGCCGGCCTTGTTACAAATCCGCTGGGCAGATTTCCTCGAGAGGTAGGGAAATCGAACAGCATGAATACACAATATATATATATATGTGTATATATATATATACACCGCCATTTATATATACATATATATATATTTATATTTATTTATTTAGTTATTTATCCAAGATGCCCCTGATAAGTGATCAAACGATCATAAATGCAAAACACTTAGAATGCCACAAATGTACAGCTGAGCTTCAGAAAGTTCTGGTACGTGTCCTTCATGTCGATCTTGAGCAACTTATCTCCCAGCTTCTCAGCCAATTTATCCACGGCCGC